CCGCACTCCCCCTGGACTGAACGAGGGAGCCCTTAGAAGGTAATAAGAATGCTGAGAGCTTGGAGTCTGGGAAGAGCTTGGAAAGCTCTCGGAGCCTCTCCCTCCGCGGCCCTATCCCTGCTGATAAGGATGAGAGCGAAGCTGGCTGACAAGTGATTGGAAACAGGAGTTCCCAAAGCCTTTAACCCCTCCCTAGCCTGCCCTAGGGTCTGGAGTCTCTAAATGCTGAGGCCCATCTCCTTGTGGCTTCCTGCTCTCTGTATTAGGGCTCTCTACCTCCCCCCTCCCACCCCCAACCTTTCCATCTTCTTCTCCCTTTGTCCTGATGGGTTACTGAATGCCACCGTCCTTCTATCTGGAAAACGACTACCACCACCAAACGCTAAGACGTAGCCCCTCCACCTTCAGGCCGCCCCGAGGAGTCAGCCAGGGAGTCTCCTCTAGTCCAGACCCCACCCACACTGAGCCACCGTGCCTCTGCCAGTCCGGGGCTGCCTTTCAGCAGCAGGAGCCTCCCAGATGAACGTCAATTCTGTTTGGTGTTCCGGGGTTCTGGGAGCAGAAAGCCCAGGCCCGGCAGCCTGGTCCCAGACCCCTTCTCTGCTGCCCAGGCTGGCTGTGGAGCTCTATGGGACCTTGGCGGGTCACCCCCAAAACAGACCTGACTTGCTGAGTCACCCCAAAGGCCCTCCACCCACCTAGGTATTGCCTGGTGCATGGACAGACATCATACTGGGATAGATGACTAGAGATCTGTTCATGGCCCTGGCCAGCAGGGCTGACGCAGAGAGGAAGCTGTCCCGCTTACCCTGGGGAGGGGCATTCGGGAGAAGCCAGGTTTACCGGCCACAGTAATTAAGTGTAAAAGCGCTTCCTTCAGTAGAATGGAATTCAGATAAACTTCCATTATCATGCAAAGCAGCTTTGCACCTAAAAGTCTTTACCCAAACAGGCAGTTTAATTAAATCCCTAATCTCCCCTGGCCTGTTCTGACCCCTTCCCTTCCCGCCTCCCCCACCTTCCCAATGACTTGGGAACTTCAAGATTCCATTTAAAACACTTAACCTGTAAGGAAGCAAAACATACCCCAAAATAGTGGGTCTGAGTGTGGGCCCCCTTTGAGGATCTGGTCCCTGTGTCTGAAGGTGTTAGCTCCCTGAGGCTCAGACCGTACTAACCGGGGTGCTGGGTGCTGATGCCAGGGTGAGCATGATGGTGGGCATACTGGCCAGGACGGCGGTCACAGTGATGTGATGGGAGTGGGCACGGCCTTGAATAGGAGGGTGTGTGCATCATGCAGCCCTACCAGCCCCTGCTCACCCCCAGGAGGCTGGTGCCCATCTAGGAACCAATCTCTGCAATGAAAAGTCTGCAGTCTCACCACCCAGAGCACATGTGTAGCAGCCCTATTAGACTTGGATGTAAGGCCCCTGGTGTTAAGCCCAGAAGAGGCAGGCATGAACAAACTGACCTGACCACGGGTGTCTCCATTTGTAAGGCTGCAAGGGCCTCCGCTGTGAACCACAGGGGGGACGCCAAGCCAGTGAGTGAGAACCAAATCCTTTGGGGGAAAGCCTAATGCAATAGTTTGGAGTTTAGGCTATAGGTGGGGGGAGAGATCAGGAGAAAGGGAGAATGGAATGGGGCAGGAGGAGGGTAAGGGTAGGGAAAAGGGTTGGCCCAAGAGCACTGAAGCACTGATGGAGAACAACCCAATAGTACCTTCTAGCATCTGCAGAATGCCTTACAAGTTTGTGTCTTCGTGTGGGGAAAGAAGGAAAGGAAATCAAACCCACCGCATATGTTATCTCTTCAATTTCAACCTACAAAGGTAAATCTTATTCTCCACCACCACCATCACCACCGGAGAAGACATATGCCCCAGCGAGCCAGGATTCAAACGCTGGCCTGCCATACTGAAAAGTTGATGCTCTTCTGCTAAACCACAGATCAGCCACGGGGATTATCATGTTGGGGGGGGGGGATTAACTACCCAAGAATGCTCGAGTCTCCCCTCCCTCCTGAAGCAAGAATGTTTCCTTCCTGAAACAATCCTTGGCCGAGACAAGGGAATCAGCTCGCAGCCCGAGGACATAACTTAAGGGAGCTATGCTGTCGGGGGGCTTCTTGAGACTCAAGCCCAAGAGGAAGAAGAACCCCAGAGGAGAGTTTTCTTTGCAGGAAAGAAGCATTGGAGGCTGTGGTGGGGGAAGGGGCATCTGCAAGTCATATAACAAACACCAGACCTTCCCATTTTATACCTCATTCCTTTGGTGGGGGTGAGCAGAGGAGCCTTCTCTATCTGGGAAACAGTGAAACTCACAACACCCTGAACCCGGCACTTTTTCCATTAATTGTATAGACTGCGTTGTGCCTGGAGAACGCGTGGTCCTTCTTTTGAGGAAGTTATATTTCTGGAAATAGGACTCTCTGGATTCATGAAACGTCCCTGTGTCTTGGGGGATTCCCTATTTCCTTATATCGTGGGTTTTCTGCGCGAAGACCAGGAGCCCTTTAGGGAGGTGCCAATAAATCTTATGAATAAAAGAGTGAAGCTGGGGGTGAGGCACTTGGTGAGGCCAGCACAACAGCTGGCCCCGGAGGGAGGACCCCAGCCCTTCAATCCTTTAGTCCTGAGTGGGGAGTGGGGAGTCTGTCCAGCCGACCCCTAGTGTTGGCCACCTTGCCTCGAAGCCAGGTGTTTACAAAGGTCATCCACGTGGACGAACAGGTACTGCTGTTTTGACTTTAGCAAGACAGCCCAGGACAGAGGAAGCCTCCTTGGCTCCAGGGTTGATGTGGGTGGGTTAAGAAAGTGGGATTTTGGACAAGATCTGTTACAGAGTCCTTTGTCTCTCTTATAGCAAAGACAACAGAGAAGAATGTTAAAAGGCTGTCTTGGTCTCCAGAACCCCTCTGGAAGCAGATGGCTTGTCAACAGGTTCCAGGGCAGGCCCCAGAGGCCCGGGAGCCCTACCGGAATGCAATTACCCTAAGTGCTGGCTGTTAGGGTGAGAAGGCAGGAATGCAATTATGGAAGGAGCGGGTAGTGAGCGTTCATTGATTTAACCGGTCCTGTCTGCTTCCATGCCCCACTGGGGTGATTTTGGGTCCCTGAGGGTTGCCCTGTGCCCCAGGGTTATGAGAAAGAAAAACAGTCACTGCAGAAAGCAAATGCCAAAGGCAGGGTTCCAGAGCTTCAGGAGGGCCTGTGGACCCCGGAAATTGCCTGGGAAGTATACTTGTGCAATATGCAAAATGTCCATTTTCTAGAAAGAGTTTCTCTACTCCTCACATGCTTTGAGGGCTCCACAGCCTTCAGAGGATTAAGGACTGGGCCAGAGGAGTAAAAGATCAGTGGGCACCATTGGAAGGGTCTTCAGTTTTCAATTCCCAGTGGCTATGATCCATCCGGATGCAACTCTGGCTCTCCCACTTAACAGCAAGGTACTTAGCCTCTCTCTGGGCCTCAGTGTCATCTCTAAAATGAGGGTAAAAATACCTACATCCTGAGGTTGATGAGAGAATTAAATGACAGAAAGAATGCAAAGTTTTTAGCCCGACATCTAACCCTTAGTAAGCTTTCAATAAATGGGAATCATTTTTATTATGACTATCTATTAAAGTTCAGAAAATAAAGTGGGGCATACACATGTACTCTTTTAAGTGGCCTTTTGACCCCAAACTCATTGTCCGGATTCCATGGAAATCCTTGGGCAAGACCCTCCTCCAAAATGGAGTGGGCCCATGAGACCCAAGGTCTCCAGACACAGCTTCCTTGAATAAGGCACTTCTGCCCTGGAGGGCGGCAGGATCCTGCCACCCTGGGAGACCCAGGCTTCTGGAAGTTGGGGCACATCCGATGTCTGGGTGGTGCCAGGGCAGTGCTGGCGTCTTCTGGGCCTGAGCTGAAGTTATCATTGGCCTGCCTCATTGAGAGAAGTTTCTGGAGATTTCAGTTAGTGAAATCTTTCTGCCTATTGGGCTGATACAATCACATACTCAGCCGAAATGGACTTCTCTACCCTAATAAGTCCCAGAATGAGACTGACCCAAGGCCTAGCATCTGCACAATGTAGTCTGGTATGGGACTAGGAAAGGACAAACAAATCTCTCCCCTTCCCCTCTGTAACAAGCATGTCTTTTTATTTGCTGTATTTTTGATGCCTTGATGTGGCCTCACTGACACTGGAGGGACCTCCTCCCACGGGGTTAACCAGCTCCTGGAGATAATAAGTTCACCTTCCAGTACACCCCTCAGACACAAACCAACCAATCCAGAGTCCATAACCCCAGCCGTCTCCTTTATTGAGGTCTTACACTCCAAACCAATATCCTCCTGCCCATATCTCCCAGGGCCAGGGATGAGGGAGGGTCCCTGTACCCCAGACCTGTTGAAATTATTCAAAGTAACCAATCCGAAGCCCGCTTACCCTGCCTGCCTATTCCTTCCTGTGGAAACCACAATAAAGGCTCTGGACCACATCTCCCCTCACGCCCTCTGCCTCCTGACCAACCCCGGTGCTTCCCTGTGTGCCCCCACCCTGCCCCACCGTGGTGTGCCCCCTTCTCTTGGGCTCTCTGTGTATGACACACTATCTTTTTAATGGCAAGCGTCTCCTCGATCGGCCTCACCCACGCCTGAATGATAAAACCTCCACTTTAAAATACCTTCTTCCCCTACACCTTCCCCTCCTCTGAGGTCCTCAGAGCTCTCCTCCCTCAGAGCCAACAGACCACCCACCCCTGCAGCCACAGGGCCCTACTCTTCAGCCAAAGCCGCCTCTGCCTGTGGGGTCAGAAGCAGTGTGGTCTCAACTCCAGTGGGCAATCCTAGAGTTGAGGGCCACGGGAGGATCTTTACTTCATGGTTCCCAGGAGAGAAGACACCAAAAGAGCTGAGAGGTGGAGCTGGCCGTACACTTGTTCGTTCATCAATCATTCATTTATTCATTCATCATTCATCCCCCTCCCCATCAATCATTCATCTGCTTATTTATTCATTCAGTGTGTTTGTACTTCTTCCTTGCCCTGGTTCCCGCAGATGTTGGTCCTCTCCTGCTTTGATCTGTCCCCTGTTCCTGCAGCAACTGCACAATAGAGCCTGCCGATGTCCCTTTGTCAGTTACCTGGCAGAGAGGGTGGGTCCCTCTCAGAGGAGCCTGTGACAACCCAAGGGACAGTGCAGAGCTGTCGCCTGCCTGGAAGTCCCCTTTCATGGCAGGCTCTGACCTTCTGATCCATGGGTCAGTGGGGGTGGAGGGGGAGGGCCTGCAGAAGGGTCTCCCGGGCCCGGCGAAGTTTGATGCCCCTGAACATGCCTCACAGCGGCTGGAAAACCACTCTCCTGGGAGGCAGGAGGTTCCAGCAGACTCTAAGCCTCCAGGCCTGGCTGTGAAGCCTGGGCTCAGCACTTTGGGGGGCTCTGAAGAACATGGTATGGAGCAACTGGGGCTAGAGCATCAAAGGCCTAAACTGTCAGCCTCCTGACAGATCTCCCAGCTTCTATCCACCCCCCCACCCCCCGCCACCTCAGGCACCAGTCAGAGATCCTTCTATGTAAGTCAGACCAGAGGTACTACTTCTGCTCAAATCCCTGCCATGACTTCCCACTCACTCAGAGCAGACGCCAAGGCCCTGGACGATCTGGTCCCACTCACTGTCCACTCACTCTCTCTTTTCAGGCCCCGTTGGCCTTGACCTCAACTCACCATCCACACTCCTACCTGTATCCCGAGGGTGCACCCATGGATGCCTGATACGTAGCAGGAGCTCAATGAAACCTTCCTTGGGGGAAGGAATAAAGGAATGGACGGGCTCTCGGAAGCTCTGAGGGTGAAGCTTGAGAAGCCACAGGCCATGGAGTCTGGGGCTTCCTGGGGTAGAACTGAGGGGGCGCACAGTGGCCTCTGTAGGCTGTGCCTGCCGAGCCAGGAGCCGGGCGAAATCACAGGCTGCCAGGCTTCTCAGGGAGGAAAGGTGGGCAGTGGTGTTGGCGGGGATCGCGCTAACTCAAGATGCCAGCTCCGTGCCGCTCTGGGGCTGGCCGGCGCTCTGGATGTCATTAGCTGATTTGTTCTGCTCTGCAGAATGTACTTTTCATATTTAGGCAGAAAAAACAGCTTTCGGTCCTCGTGCCCTTTCTTCTGTGAGCTGTAGCACATGGCCTGCTTATTATGAATTAATCCTCTAAAGAGCATGTTCATTATTCTAATTTAATTGTGCTTCGTTTCAGAAAATAACTAAACCCAGTGCGGAATAAACTCCAACGCTGATCAGTTTTCAAGAAGTTAACCTAAGACAAAATACTGCTAGAGGGGCAGCAGCAATTTGGAATCATTAAAGGCAACCCATGTAAATAATAAAAACAAAACTAAAATGCAGAATTAAATTAAGGAATAGGAAATTAAATTTGTGAATCTGATCTGAAATTGAGGCCCTATATGCACAGGCTTACCCTGGCTTGGCTCTTTGCTCAGGAGCGCTGGGGCGGGAAGGTTCTGCAGAGGTCCCCATTCCAGGGAAGTGGCGGGCAGGATGAAGCTCCCAAGAGGATGCCCAGGAAATGTGGCAGAGGGCGGCCGGGCGCGGTCAGCCCCAGGCAGAACAGACCCTTCTGCCCTGCTCACCCCTGTGTCCCTGACACCCTCCCACAGGTGTTCCCGGGACAGGGACTGATGACAGGCTTGCTCAAGATCTCTCTACCAACACCATGGGAGCCCCGTTCCAGAAGCCAAAGACCCGGATTCCAACATCAAGATGGGCAAGCCTCTAACAGGGCAAGAAGAGGAAGGCTTCCCGGCTTTAAGGTGCCTGAGAGTTCGGGGTGCCTGGGGCAGAGTTAGAGCGCGGCTCGGACCTCCTTCTGTAGTCTTCCAGCAGGTTTAGGCCCTGTCCGTGGGACGTCTTCTCTCTGTACCTCCTCCCACCCTCTCTGGGCTCTCCGCCTCTCTCCTCCCCATCCTCGGAGGCTGCACACGTCCTTCTCCTACCTGGTACTGGGAGAACTCTCTTGCCTTCCCAACCTCGCTGTCCCCACGTGTCATGGTGATAATAATACCTTCCTCTGTGGCCCGTGACAAGGAGTAAATTCAGTAAAGGACCTGGGGAAGAGCAGGTGCTTGGCCATTGCTGCTGGCCAAGGTGCAGTTTCTGCTCCATCAGCAGGTGCTCACACACACGCTCTACGCACAAATACACAGCCGTGCGCCCGGGCACATACAGGCTCCTTTCTCACTGAAGTCCTTAGACTGTGCTTCTAGAGCACCACAGCTAGTTGGAAAAGAAAACTCCAGTCAATTGACTGCTTGCCTGGATTCACAAAGGCAAACATTCAAAGAGATGGTCTTATCCCAGCATCTGAGTGAAGTTTTCCATTTTTTTAAAAAAGATTTATTTATTTATTTGAGAGAGAGAGAGAGAGAAAACACAAGCGGGGGGAGGGGCAGAGGGAGAGAGAATCTCAAGCCGACTCCATGCTGAGCGCAGTGCCCCACACGGGGATCTCACGACCCTGAGATCATGACGGGAGCCCAAACAAAGAGTCCGATGCTTCACCAGCTGCGCTACCCAGGCGCCCCTGAAGTTTTCCGTTTTTTAAAAAATATTGTATTTATTTTTTTATTCGACAGAGAGAGAGAGACAGATAGTACAAGTAGGCAGAGAGGCAGGCAGAGGGAGAGGGAGAAGCAGGCTCTCCGCTGAGCAGGGAGCCCGATGGAGCTCGATCCCAGGACCCTGGGATTGTGACCCGAGCCGAAGGCAGAGTCTCAACTGACGGAGCCATCCAGGTGCCCCAAGTTTTCCATTTTTATCTTCATTTTGGGTTCTACACAGAAAGAGTAATGACCTTAGACTCTTTTCTGAAACAAAGTGAGAGTATAAGCAAGGAAAAAGAAAGCAAATCAACAGAGTCACTTTCTTCTAATTTCTCTTTTATTTCTGGAAGTCCTGATTAAGGAAATTATGCCCATAACTTAGGCCACAGTGTTGTTGATTGATCAGTTAATTAGTGATCTTGCCTAAAATATATCAGTCACGGACGTAACAAGAACAAAGAGGGCTGAGTTCTCTTGAATTCCCTGGCCTCTTCCCCAGCCACTCCTCCTGGTCTCACTCGACAAACTGCCCCAGGGAGTGAGTGCGGTGATTCCTACCTATGAGTTGGAGCACCGCAATATACAGCCAATCTCAGCTCGCCCAGAATAAACCCTGAAGCCTCTACTAAAGACAAGTTATTCATGACACTAGTTAAGGACAGTAAAGCAGGCTGCATTCAGAGAGGGCTACTGCTACAATGGGGTTTTGTACTGGGGGAGTGAGATTGCACTCAACTCTGAATTCAACAAGGAAATATAGCCAAGGATTCAACAAGGAAATATAGCCA